ACAACTGTTCTCCACAGTGGCTGTGCCGTTGAACATTCTCATCGCCCTAAATGGGTGTTCCAGCTTCTCTCCAACACCTTTTGTTTGCCATTTTTTTAATTATAATACCAGAACATGTATTGCATAACTAAACAGTGGAATTCTTAAGATGAACTGGATGCTGCAACAGCTGCCCGTTTGGGTTTCGGTGTTGTTCCTTCACGGAATCCATGCCTGAATCTGCCGTAAACGATCTTTAGGTGCCTCATGCGACCAGTACTGGTGGTATTTTGCCGGTATAACTGGCACTCCAGTTATACTTTCTCTTGTGCTTGGCGGGGTAGCCACACTTGTCACAAGTGGACTTCTGGAGGTGGTAGGCCTTGGAGCCACAGCAGCGGCATAGCGTGTGCGTCTTATTGCGACGCTTTCCAAACGATGATGTTCCCTTCGTCATCTCGCTTTCACTGCCGCGACCAAAGAGACCGGAAGAGTTGTTTGCCATTTTTAAAAAACTATGGCCCTTATCATGAGGATGAAGATGACCCTCATTGCAGTGTTTCTTGCTTTGCTTTTACTTTTGTGACTCTGATGAAACCTCACAGAGCAAACTGGTTTTCCATTCAACAGTTTACACATATTTTGATTTCTGACCTTGACTTCAATTCCTGTGATGTAATAACATCCTTCTCACTTTCTCCGTGTGTTTATTATTGCCTTTCAGCCTCCTTCCTGATACTTTGCACCTTCTGAGCTTTATCTCTGGGCAAATGTTGCCTTTTGAGCATCCTGTTGTTGTTGTTGTTGTTATAGGCAGTAAAGAAGGTTAAGCGCCCTTCAAAGGTCAAAGGGTGACTAGGGGTCATAGTCTCGGGTCCCATCAGTCTCTATCAGTTCAGGAAGCCTGGTGTTCCGTTTTGTTACTTCTAAGTTTTGTTCTACATTTTTCTCCTACTCTATCCAGGATTTCTTTGTAGTTCCCTTCAGAGCGGTCAGGAGTGGTAGCTGGACATCACCCAGTTCTTCTAGTCTCCAATCCTAAGACCACATTCTTCTTCATAAAGTCCATGATCTGGTACAACCACTCTGGAAGGCAGTTTGGAGCTTCCTCAAAAAGCTGAACATAGAAATTCCATATGGCCCAGCTATTCCATTGCTTGATATATACCCTGAGAAAATGAGAACTGAGGCACAAACAGAGACTTGTACACCGATGTGCATAGCAGCATTATTCACCATTGTAAGAACGTGAAAACATCCCCTATGTCCAACCATAATTAAATGGAATTAGAAATTATGGTATATCCACACAATGGAATACTATGCAGCATGCAGGAGCAATGATTTTGTAAATTATTACCTAACCTGGGAGGGACTGGGGAGCAATATGCTGAGTGAACTAACTCAATCCCATAAGGACAAATACTGTATAAAACCATTACTGTAGAATGAGTATGAGGATCCAAGGGGGAGGTGGAAGCAGAGGGGGGAGGATGTGCGATGGGGGAGGATTAATCATGGAGTCACACAATTTGACAGGTGGGGGCCGTGAGGGAAATGGGATAGATTTGGTGTGAAAAACAATATATTCTAATTTTGTAAATAAACTAGTATTTTTTAAAAGTCCATGATGTGTTCATCATATAGATCAAGTGAGTATGTATGGAGGAAGTACACAGCCCTGATGCATACCTTTCTGGATTTTACACCATGCAGCTTACCCTCGTTCTGTTTGGACAGTGACTTCTTATTCTAGGCGTATGTTTTATATGTACACAATGAGGTGTTCTGGGAGGCCTATTCTTCTCAATGTTATCTGTAATTTGTTATGACATACATAGTCAGATACCTTTGCATAGTCAATAAAAGAATAAAAGTCTGGTGTTCTTTGATTTTGACCAGAAACAGCTGAACAGATAAACAAAATGTAGCTTATTTATATAATTGCTAAAAAGGACTGTCAGCATGAAAGGGGATAAAAAGGACTGATACAAACTACACTATGATTGAGTCAAAAGCACTGTGTTAAATGAAAGGAGGGCGCCATACACCATCACATATGCTACGTCTCCATTCACGTGAAATGTCCAGAAGAGGGACATCCACAGAGAGGAGTAGGTTAGTGGCTGATGAGGTTAAGCGGGGGCAGTAGTGGGGAGTGGCTGCTAACGGGTGCAGAACATTTGGGGAAGTAAATGATGGAATGTTTTGAAATGAAATAGTAATGCTGGTTGTGCAACTCTGTGAACATACCCCAAACCACTGAATTGGACACTTTAAACAGTGGCATTTATGATGTCATGCAAAATCAGGAAGCCTTATTCATCTTCCAGATAATATTATTATAAAATGTATATGGAAAAGTTAGAAGAAAGAAAAACAATTTTGCAAAGGAATAGCAAAAAGTAAAGTGTGATTGCCTGGCATCAAGGCATTAATATAGTTATAGGCACCAAGATGGTGTGGTATTGGTAGAGGGAGAGACACACAGATCAATGACTAGAATGTGGAACCTAGGAATAGACCCACACAGACAGGAGCAACTGCTGTTTAAAGGAGTTTAAAAAGGCACGTGACTGCATAAAGGTGAATGCTGGCATAAAAAAATAAGAAAATTTAAAATTAGTCACTTAAGCAACTCAAGGGCCCACTGACAACTGAATGGATAGAAAAACGATGGGACATTCACACAATGGAATATAACGCAGTACTGAAAAACAATGAATTCCTAAAACATTAGACAACATGGGGAAGCCTGGAAGACATTATGTTGAGTCAAACATCTCAGTCACAAAAAAGACAAACACTGTATAACACTGCTCTAAAAAAAGAGGACAGACACGATGGATTGGGTAAAGAATGGGCAAGAGTGGCTAGGTAAGGAACGCTGCATTAGATCAGAAGAGGAGAAGGACTACGTGAAGGAAATACATGATGAGGCGTTACATTGTGTGACAATGTAACAAGGGGTGCATTGTGGGGAGAGCTAGGAGGAGGGGGAGAAAAGTGCAACAATGAGTTTAAAAAAGAAAAAATAGTAGATGGTAACTCAATAAAGGGGAAAAATCACAAACTTAAAAAATCTCTGTCTCACTGCCATCTAAAAACAAAGTAAGTCAGTAGAGGAAGGACCGTTGTTGTGGTTGAGTCAGAACTGACCCATAGCTGACCCTCGGGTGTGTTTTCACAGGCAGTTAACTACACAGGAGGAGAACTTCGATTCTTCTCCTGCAGAGCAGCTGGTGGATTCCAACTGTGTGCTATCAGGATTTCAGCACAGCTTCTTGCCACTAGGCCACCAGTGGTCCCTGGAGGAAGTATAGTCTTCTTAACAAATGGTACTAGAGCAAGTGAATACTCAACAGGGGAAAAAAAAAGTCGATCCAAACCTAATAACCTGGTACAAAAATTAAGTCAAAACATACTGCAGATGAAAATGTAAAATTATAAAACTGTAAGAGAAAAATCTTTGGGACCTTGAGTTTGGCAACGAGCTCTGGTTGTTGTTGTTGCTGTTCTGTGCCGTCGAGTCACCTGTGACTCATAACGACCCTATGTACAACAGCCCTAAACCCTGCTCTATCCAGTGCCAATCTCATTGTCTCTGACACACCCATCCCCACTGCCCCAGTCACTGAATCAGTCCATCTCATTGAGGGTCTTCCTCTCCTGTTTGACCAGGGCTGGAGATTGTGAGGATGGCACAAGACTGACACGGCTTCAGCTTTGATCTGTTGTTCACAGGGTTGCTGTGGGTCAAGGTCAACTCCACACCCAACACTAATCTGTCACAGAGCAGTCAGTCAGTGGGCATATCATGTACACTTGACTCCTAACCAAGGAGAAGCAGTTTAAACCCCACCCAGTGCAATGAACTTGACAACAATGCATGGATTTTTTTTGGTTTAGTGCTCATAATGGCTCCTCATAACATCTAAAAATGCTTTATTGTGGAAATTATTTTTAAAAAACTTTAACTGAATCATCTGTGTGTGGTTATTTTTCAAAGTTAACCGCAGGGATCTCAAGAGTGAATCAAGCCCATTCCCAGGATGCTCTGGATTGGAGATGTCTTTATCCCTTGCTTCCTGTGAACAAGCGCCCCCCAGAATGCTCTTCGAGGCACACACTCTGCTTTTGTCTCCCCACCCCTATCCCCAAGGAAGATGAGAACAGGTAAGATACACTCTCCTTCAAAGGAGAAACCACATTTTATCAGGGTTGTTACTTGGGAACAGCAACTGTGTTTACACTCTTGACACACAAACCACACATGTGTCTTGTACACAGGGGAAAAGCAAACGAACAACAAACAGCCTTCTCCCTCTTCATTCCCACCCCCCTTCCTCACACCAAAGCACGGAGAAACTGCCACTTACAGATCACCACTTACAGACAGATAAAGCCCCCATTCCCCAGCACCAAAGGGCTGGAGTGAACCACGGTAAACATCTCCAAGTCACATCTTCTCAAAGAAATACAACTACCCAGGCTGGCCCTCACCCTCCTCTTCCGTATCTCTCTGTCTTTAAAAAATCAATGAGTTCCCACTTAACCCTAGGATGTGCCCGGGAAGGGCCCACTGGTGTAACTGGTCAACTTGGGAGTATTAGAATGGGACAAGGATGGGGTGCCCTTAACATACCAGGGAACTGTAGCCACAACCAGGTAGCCCATTCCCAGACTGATGGACTCCGGGACCCACTACCGGCCTAGGAGGCTGATAAAAGCCACTGAGGGTCATGATACAGGCTGATGTCCATGCAGGTGCTGAGCTCAGGGTACCTGGGAGTCAGCGGAGAAGTGGCCTCTGCTCAGGAGAAGGACAGAGGGCCGGCCCTGCCTCCTTCCAGAGAGGCAAGAGGCCCAGGGTGCTCCAGGGAGCAGACCTTCCCATCTTCAGTTTGCCTTAGAAAAGACATCGCCTCCGGCAGTGACGCACAGAAGCGGGAAAGCTAGCTTCTCCCTTCACTGCTGGCTTCCCAGCTCCGGCAGCGGGGGCTGGGGGCTCGAGGCCCTGGCTAGACGGTGGTCCCATTGGCAGGGCGTCTTCGGACTGGGTTCTTCCTTCGTACCGCCTTGACCCCAGCAGAGCCTTTCTTCTGCTTGGCGTCCAGGTTCTTCACGTACCTCTGGACCCACTGCTGCTTGGGGTCACCACAGACTTTGTGGCCCTTCTTGGTGGTGAAGCTGTGGGAACAATTTCAGGGTGCACCTGAGACCCAGCCAGGGCCCCAAGGACCACTGGGTGCAGCCTCCTCACCAGACAGGACACGGGTGGTCCAGGCCCAGGAGTCCTGGGCCCAGATCTCCTGAAAGCTACGGACAGAGTCTCTGGAGTCTGCATCACTGTATGCCTTGGTTTCAGTGTTGGGAGGGAGAATGGAGAGAGGTAAAGATTTCATGATCAGCAAACATCCTTAAAGACTGGAGTAAGGAGGCCTGCCCTGCCTTTAGAAGACGCTAAGCTTCACTGGAAAACAGTCTCTATCCACAGGGAAAAGGGGAAACCAGATTATGCAGTGGGCACCCACAGGAAAAAGCAAGTGCCCCTCGCTGCAAGAAAGTGAGGCCAAGAGAGGAGGCCTTCTTAGAAGTTAGCTCTGAGAGGGGAAGACCAGGCTGTGAGGGAACTGAATCTCCTGCCAGTCTGCCTTCTAGCAACACTGTCAGACAGAGAACTAACTGCCCCATGGGATTTCCAACACTCAATTTTTATGGGAGCAGGTTGTCCTGAGGAGTGACCCATGGGTTTGAACTGCTGATCTTTTGGTAAGCAGCCCAACACTTAACCCCTCCTGCCAACAGGGCTCCTTGGTGCCTGCCGAGGAAAATGAATAATTCTAATCTCGCATCGCCACTGCCCACCACTATTTACATGTAGGTTCACTATGAGGTGATTTGGGGTTCAGAGAGCTGGCTACCCTTGTGATCTGGAGCAAACACACTTTCTAAGCCTCAGCTGCCTTCTGTGAAATGGGGAGAATTGCCCTCATCTCGAAGAACTGCACAGGGGGCTAGTGTATATCTCTAGTATTCAATAAACAACAAAGAACCCTGGAGGGTTAGGTAGTACATAGTGTGTTGGATTGCTAACGGAAAGGCTGGTGGTTCAAATCCACCATATGCTCTGGGAGAGAAAGAGAGGCAGTCTCTCCCATAAAGATTTACAGCCTCAGAAACCTGATGGAGGGCCCCAGGGTTGGAATTAACTCAATGGCAGTGCGTTGGCTCCTCCTCATTTGATGAGTGAAGAAGCTGAGGCCGCTGGTTCTGTGATTCTGAGGTGCATCCTGCCCTGCCAGCCGCCCGGGAAGAAGCAGTACTTACATCACCCCTGCCTTGGGGCACACACTCCCGCTGGACAGCTGGTAGCTCACCACCCGGGCCTCGGGAATTTTCTTGGAAATAAAGGTCAAGCAGCAGGAAGAGGGGATGGTCACTGCGCCTAAAGGGAGAGGAGAGAGAAGAGCTGTGTCCTTTCTCAGTCTGTCCAGGTTCCGGGTCACCAGGTAATGAGCCTGTGCCCTGCACTGGACAATTCCTGCCTGTCACTGTGCCCCTGCCATTGTGTCTCTCTGGCCCTGGGCTAGTCCGTCTTCGACCCTCGCCTGCACCACCCCAGTCAGGCCTGGCTGAGGCCTTACCTGCAGGTGTGATGTGGTGGGCACAGAGGACCAGGAGCAGGAGGCTGGCTGTGAGGGTCGCGGGACCTGCCATGTCCTGGAGAGCAGAGGAGGGGGTGAGGAGGCCGAATGCAGCGCAGGAAATGGGCTGGGCGCAATGGCCTGCTTCCTTGCGGGGCACCCTACCCTCCTTTGACCCTTTATAGGGGTGGCGAGGAGGAAACACATGCCGATATAACCCCTACCGCCTCCCTCCCCCAGGCTTCCTCGAAAATCCCTGAGGCCCCTGAGGTGTGGAAAGGGGAAGTTGTTGCAGTTGAAGCAGGGGTTATTCGGGGTGTTCTAAGAGGCCCCTGGTGCTGCAATGGTTAAGCACTTAACTACCCGTCAAAATGTCAGTGGGTCAGACTCACCATCACCAACACGGGAGAAAAGACCTGGCTAACTGCTCGTATAAAGAATAGTACCGAGGAAACCCCAGGCCACCCCAACCTTCCATGACAGGCTCACACAAGGTCACCATGATTGGCGCCCACGAGAACAAGAAAGGGCTGGGGGGCGGGGGATTGCCCTGTCTGGGTGCATAGCAAGTACGCTGATGGGGGTCCTGGCTGCTGTGCTTACTCGGTCTCTGAGGGGTCTCAGATAAGTCTGCACCTTTCTGTACCTCAGTTTCTTCAGCTGAAAATGGGTAAAGCCATCCCATGCTCCTCCATCGCTCATGTATCCACTCACTAAACTCCTCTATGCTGGTAGGTGCTCTTAGGCTGGCTGGTCTCCTGTGGACAGCCCAGGCGCAGTGGAGCAACCTGGGAGGCCCAGAGGGTCCTCATGCACTGATGTTTTTGTAAGCGGACCACCAGGCCTTTTGTTCTTATCCCTTTTAATCTAAAACCTGCCCGGTATCATAGCAGCATGCAACCCTCAGTGAGAGAGAGGTGATGGCTGGATAGGACGTGCACTGGCAGGAATCGAACTTGGGTCTCCTACCTGGAAGGCAAGGATTCAACCACTGCTTCTCAAACTCTCATTAGCCATGTGCCATGTGCCATGTGCCATGTGCTAGGCTCTGGGAGGCTTTTAGGAGGCTTTTAAAGAGCTCTGTTGTTGTGAGCCATCCAGTAGGAGCTGATTCATAGCTGAGCCTCCAGCAGGTTTTCAGAGGCAGTAAATCACATGGGAGGAGACTGACCATCCTTCTCCCATGGAGCAGCTGGTGGATTCGAACTGCATGCTTTGGGGACTCAGCAAAGGGTTTTGTCACTAGGCCACCAGAGCTCTGTTTTAAGGGGCTCAAATGGTATCGTTAAAACGCACGTTGGTAGCACCCTTGGTAAGGCATTCCATCGCCAGCTCAAAGGCAAATGGTGTCACTGGCTCGAGGCTCAAACCTACCAGCTGCTCTGTGGGGTGAAGGCTGCGTGGTTTCCTCCAGCCTTGGAGACTTGATGGGAAGTCTGCGGGCTGGAATCGACTCCACTTTGTGTTGTTTGGGTCCCTTCAAGTCAACTAAGACTCAACAGCCCTATGAACAACAGGTCTGAACCCTGCCCTACCCGGCACCATCCTCATCCTCTCCGCCATGCTCAAGGCCATTGTTAGGGTCACTGCGTCAATCTGTCTTGGTCAGGGTCTTCCCCGCTTTCCCTGGCCCTTCAACTTTCCACGCATGCTGCCTTCTCCCAAACACTGAGCCTTCCTGACAACACGCCCAGTGAATGTGAGATGAAGTCCCACCATCCGTGCCTCCAAGGAGCACTCCGACTGCACTACCTTTAAGACGGACTCGTCTGTTCTCTCAGCAGTCCAAGGGATGCTCAAGACTCTTTCTCAACACCACAATTCAAAGGCGTTGCTGCTTTTTCTGTCATCCTCATTCACAGCCCAACCTTCAAATGCACAGGAAGCCCCGGACAAGACCACAGCTTGGATCGGGGGCACTGCAGTCTTTAAACTGACATCTTTGCTCTTTAGCACTTTGGAGAGGTCCCTAACAGCAAATCTTCCCAGTGCAACACCTCTCTTGATTTATTGTGTGGGCTCTAGGAGCCTGGAAATGCCTAGAAATTTCTCTCCTCTGGGGACAGCTCTGAACCAGTGTCAGCTGGAAGGATCCAGCGTGTTTCACGGGGAGGGGTCAAGTCAGCCCCCTTCCATGTACTGGGGTTTGGCTTCTGCCCGCATGGTGATCACTCACAGTGCCCCCCTCAGGGTCTGCATGGAGAATCTAGACATGGAAAGGTAAAAAGGGGCTGAGGACTCGAGGAATACAGGAAAAAGTCATTTAAAAAAAAATACAAGGGAGGGGAGCTCTGGTGCATAATGAGTCCACTGCGTAGAGGACTGTGAAGATCAAAGGCAACAGACTGGGACACAGCTTTGAAATTCGTAATATTCAGTTCCTTATAAAGGACAGCGCTGACTTGGTTGAAGCGAGATATGAGGGTACGCACCTTAATCCCTCCTCCACACCATTTCCACAGGGTCTTGTTTCCATGCTCCCCTCACCGCCCCCCCCACCCCAGTTCTCTCTATTCACCTTTCTAGGTCTCCCTGCTCGAGGTTCCTGAGGTACTAGGAAGGTGGTGATGGGGGCCACACGCACACCCTCAGATGATGGCCAATCTCCTTCTGTGTGTCCTGCTTGACTGTAGACACTCGGAGGTCAAGATCGCATTCCTGCGCCCACTGAGTCCCAAGCAAGCAAGTCACTCGTCCCACTGGCCAGTGTGTGTGGAGTGAGGGTGCAACTGGAACGTTGAGTCACTTTCCTCAAGATCAAGGGCACATCTGTGGACCCCGCTCAGTACAACTTGGGCCAGCTTTCGGGAGAGGACAAGAGTGGGGCTGCAGGCAAGCAGGCAAGCCCCCCGATGTGAGTATACAGGTGGTGGGTCCAGTGGCTTAACTAGATCACTGTCCTTCTTTTGCTCCTCTTCAAAGTCAAAGTCAAAGTCAAAGTCAAAGTCAAAGTTAAAGTCAATGCTACTGAGTTGAAACTGACTCATAGCTGACCCTCCGGTGGGTTTCAGCTGTAAACCACAAGGGAGAAGACTGCCCATCTTTCTCCTGGAGAGGTGTTGGTAGGTTTAAACCAGTGGCGAGGTCAGGCCCTGGGTTAGCATGTAACTCCCTATGGTGCTAGGCCACCAGAGGCCCCTCCGGACCCCTCAGACCACAGCAGGGGAGGGGTAACCAGGGATGTCTGACTCTTTATTGCCCTTCTTTTGTCATCGTTGCTAACAGCCATCAAGTTGATTCAATCTCACTGTGACCCCAATGGTACAGAACAGAATTGCCCCTCTGAGTTTCCAAGACCTTTCAGAAGATCTGTCTCCAGAGGTATCTCTGGGTGGGTTTGAACTGCCAGCTTGCCAGCAAGTAGTTGAGTGGTTCGCTGTCCGTGCTGCCCAGGGACTCCCTTTACACAGCGACAAACGCAGAGAGCCCCGGCCCAGCTGTTCCCTAGCTTTACCTTGTCCTCTGGTGGGCTCCATCCTGGCATCTCCCCGGCGGCGGCAGCCAACCACGGGCAGGGCGTGGGCGGGAGAATGAAATGAGAACACGTGTGTGAACACCACTTCTGCATGTGAGGACCTCACAGTCGTGTTTTATGACATCCCTTCCTGATCTTTGCTTCTCAACAGTCCAGACTGGGGAGTGGGGGGGACCTGCCTTCTATCTGGGATTTATGACTCAGGAACTCAGGAATTTATGACCCCTGGGAACAGGGTGTGGCAGAAGGAAGTGCATTGGTACGGATGCAGCATGCTGGCAGGCGCAGAGTGAGGGCTGGAGCGAGTGGGGCCGTGGAGGAGGGTGAGGTGCTTGCTGGGATGCATGTGGTAAGAAGCGTGGGGCAGCAGAAGGTCAAGGAGTGGGAGGGTTTGGGGCTGGTCACTTTGTCTGGATTAGTCACACCCTTCAGGGGCTTTTCCAAGGCCTTTTGTTTTGTTTTGTTTGTTTGAATCTGATATCTAGTCTCTGTGCCCTATCCAGAGAAGTAAGTAGAACAAGTTCTTAACCCCATTTACAAAGAGAAAATTGAAATTTGCAAAGGCTAAAGATGGTGAAGGAAGTGCTGGTGGCATTACTGTAGGGAGTTGGGCTGCCAATCCGACAGTAGGCGGTTCGAAACCACCGTGAGAGAAAGATGAGCCATCTCCTCCTGTGCAATTTACGGCCTCTGAAAACCCGCTGGAGGGTCAGCTATGAGTTGGTTCTGACTCAATGACACATAACAAGAAACAGAATGGTGAAACTGCATCTTACATACTTTGAGCATATTGCCAGGACGTGCCCGTCCTTGGAACTGTTGTTATGTGCCGTCGAGTCGCTTGCGACTCATAGTGACCCTATGTACAACAGCCCTAAACTCTGCTCTGTCCTGTGCCAATCACACTGTCTTCGATACACCCATCCCGATTACCCCAGTCACTGAATCAATCCACCTCATAGAGGGCCTTCCCTTCCTGCGCTGTCCCTCCACCCTCCCAAGCATGATGTCCCTCTCCAAGGACCTCCTTACAACATGTCCAAAGTATGTCAGACAAAGCCTCAGAATCCTTGCCTCCAAGGAGCCGTCTGGTTTAAGCCTCTCCAGGATGAATCTGTTTTTCTAGCACTCCATGGTACCCTCAATACTCTTCTCCAGTACCACAGCTCAAAGGCATCAATTCTCCTTCTATCCTCTTTAGTCACTGTCCAACTCTCTGACGCATAACAAGCGATTGCAAAGACCATGGCCTATATCAGATGCACCTTAGTCTCCAGAGAACCATTGCTCTTCAGTACTTTGGAGAGGTCCCTAACAGCAGACTTTCCCATCGCAATACGTCTTTTAATTACTACATGTGAGAAAAGTAGGTCAATGAAATAAAGAAAGTCCCTCAACAGATGGAGTGACACAATGATTACAACAGTGGGAACTGAGGACGGTTCAGGGTAGGACGAGGTGGCCATCTGTTCACAGGGTCAATTTCTGTTTGTGATGTTACCTCACAACAATATGCCAACAACAGCACAAAGGGCCTCCCCTGCCGCACAGAGCCAGCCGTACTGTCCTCCGCATCTGCCCCAGGCTCCAGCCCACTG